TGTAATTGAGTGAATAAACACACGCACACTTAAGGAGATCTTTAAAAATTTATACTGATCATACGGGACGAACATAGTTCGTACGGGATGATCAAGTCAGTTATCTCCTCTAAAGAGTAATGGAACTAACAGGAGTCGAAGAAAATTTTTCTAAATCCTGATCGTCCAGGACGAATATTAATCGTCCCATGACAAAGTGTTCTATGGAAAATTTTTGTTCAAACGAAATTCATATTCGTGCTACGACGAAATGCTCTCTGGAAAATTTTCGTCCAAACGAACTCAAATTCATCCCAGGACGAAATGTCCTTTGAAAAATTTTTGTTCAGACAAAATTCATATTCGTGCCAGGACAAAATGCTCTTTGGAAAATTTTCGTCCAGACGAACACAAATTCATCCCAAGACGAATTACTCTCTATAAAAATTTCATCCGGACGAACTCATTTTCGTCCCAGGACGAAGTGAACTAACTCTTCAAATTTTGGTGACATCCTGCAGTTTTTGGGGACCGACCTATGGTATAACTGTTCGTACCGGACGAACCTAGTTCGTACGGGATGATGCTCGAGTATGATTTCAGTTCGTACCTATATACATTTGGTTCGTTTCCACACATTTAAGTAAAATCATTCAGGACGATCTACGATTGTACGGGATGATCAACTTCGTGTTGACTTGAAAATTTGAAGTTTTTGGATAATTTTTCTTATCTTTCATATAAATAGTCTAATTTAGACTTCCACTTAATCTTTTTGCCTACTGATCTTTATGCCAATTAAAAGGAGAGTCAAGGAGAGAGTGTGAGAGAGTGTTTGTAAGAGATTTCTTACTACTGAAGCATGAAGGATTCACTTGGAACTCAAAGGTAAGAATCTCAACTTGTGGTTTTTGAATACTTCACTCTTTTCTCTCTTCCTTCTAGATTTCTTGTGAGAAGATCTGTCAAGGAGATCTGGTTCTCTGCCGACACTTGGAGAGTGTGAACAGCCGAAGGGTTCTCTGCCTACACTTGGAGAGTGTGAACAACCGAAGGGTTCTCTGCCCACACTAGAAGAGTGTGAAAGGATGAAGGGTTCTGCCCATACTAGGAGAGTGTGAAAGGACAAAGGGTTCTCTGCCCATACTAGGAGAGTGTGAAAGGAAAAAGGGTTCTCTACCTATACCGGGAGAGTGTGAAAGGACGAAGGGTTTTCTGCCAACACTAGAAAGAGTGTAAAAGGACGACGGTTCTCTACCGCACCGGGTAGTGGTGGAAGAAAGTTTTGTAAAGGCTTCTCCGACTTGCTGTGGGTGCAAAAGGAGAGTCACTATTGGTATTAGTGCAATACTTGGAGGGTGCATCTAGGGAGTGGATGTAGGTCGTGTTTGACCGAACTACTATAAATCTCGTGTCTTTTATTTTTCCGCTGCTTTTATTTTTGCTTTACTCTTTTTAACTTGTGGTTGAAAAACATTTTCTATAAAATTCACTAAAGTTTATTTTCTCGATTTTAAATTTGAAAAGAGGGGTAAAATTTTTAATTACCAATTGACCCCCCCTCTTGGTTAGCTGCTGGGACATAAGCTTAGGTTTAACAACCTAATTCATATTAAATAAGTTTCAACAGTGTCCCCCCCTGGCCCAAGGGGGGTAATTATAGCATTTTTTGGAAGAGGATAAGCTTCAGGAATAATCTAGAATTTTTTAAATTTTTTTTGGAATTTTCTAAAATTTTTCAGAATTTTCTGGAATTTTCAGAATTTTCTTTGGATTTTTTTAAGAATTTATTGAATTAAAAAAATTAAATTAAATTATTATTATAGTCGGCCCAAATCGTGCGGAGTGTTTGCCGTCCCTGACGATAGGAAGAGGGTGGCGGCCGGTCGGCTGATTCGGCCGCCTACGCTTATCCTGGCTAGATTTTCTACTCATACGGTCCAAATTGAACATATTTGGAGTCTCTAGAAACATTTTTTTACGTTTCAGACTCAATTTTGATATTTTCAGAGCTCAATGAGGCCTCTATGATCAAGTTTAAGCAACTTTTTAATTTTTGGAATGCAATATTTTTATGATTAGGCCAATGCAAAATATTATAATATGTATTTTCAGACTTTTGAGCTTTGATGTTTAAAAATAGGGGGACAACTGATATATCATCAAAAAATTATCTTGATCGCACACGAATCTCGAGGCAAAAATCAAGCTGAAAACTTTAAAAATTAAATCAGGGATCATCTGAACTTTAATTTCAACAAACTTATAGTCGAACTGAGCTTCTCAAAAATACAAACCCAATGACACCAAATTCAAGACAATCCGAGCCCAAATGAGTCTAAATCGAAGACCCGAAGCACTATTGGAAGGTTAAAACCACAATTTTGATTACTAAATGATTTCTAAACATGATATGCTTATAGTCAAATCGAGTGGCTCGATGAGACAAATCTAACAAGACTAAGATCGCCAAATTCCAATATCATTATGGCCTTCAAATGTCTAACAAATAGTCCACGATTAAGGGATTCAATATCGGCCATTCATCCAAACCACACAACATTTTCCCTTGATCATTCTCCTATTTATGGGTCATGACATCCTCAAATACTATCAATAGCCCCTCATTTCTCTTGATAGGGGACCCCAAGTAAGAAGAAGAAGAAGAAGAAGAAGAGAAGGAGGTAAGAAACTCCTCTTCGACCACCGCCGGAGTTCCGCCCGACTTTCAAGTGACGCCAAAGTTCTGCCTGACTTTCAAGTGACGTCGGAGTTCTGCCCGACTTTCAAGTGACGCCGGAGTTCCACCAAACTTTCAAGTGACGCCAAAACTTCGCCCGATCTCCAAGTGACGCTAGAATTCTATCTGATCTCCAAGTGACTTTGGAGTTTTGCCCGAATACCATCTAATGTCAGAGTTCTCCCCGACCGCTGACTAATGTCGGACTTCTACCCGACTCCGAAAATCTGCTCGTCACCAGATTTCTACCCGACGATGGACTTCTACCTGTTGTCGGATTTTCGCCAGACATCTATCTGATGCTAGATTTCTTTCCATTGTTGAACTTCTAGCTGTCGCCATCCTTTTGACCTCTGATGTTAGACAATGGTCCTACCGACCTCCATTGCCCACCGACTACATTCCTTCCGACTTACATCACCCATCGACTACGATCCTTCCGACTAAACGAATATGTCAACATTGACTATTTATATTTGCTTCATGTACTTCATATAATGTACATCAAGCCAAGGCCTTCCCCCTAAGGAAGTGCCTCATTTGTAATCGATTGCAAATAATAGTGGACACATTCAAACTAGGCTAGACCCCGTTGTTTTTCCTCCATTTCAGGGGTTTTCCACGTAAAAAACTTGGTGTCTCATAAATGCTACACTCTCTCTCTTATCAGATTACGTGCTGTATTTTCGTACAAAGTTAAGACGTTAAATTTTATATTTCTCTACTACCATGAATACTCCAGGACGCAACAAGCTTTAATCAATCTTTTGATGCAAAATAAAATGAGAAATTCATACGATTTTTTTAAATTTGTTATTTCATAAAATCAAAATATAAAATATCGAACGTTTGATGAAATATTTTCTTAGGCTGACTGTATATACCTAAGGTGACATATTAATAAATGTCATGGCAAATTATAATTATATACAATAGGATGATATTCTAATAATTAAATATAAAAATTTTGTTTAGCATATCAATAAAAAATCTTTCTTAAAAAGATTATACACATTACTTCACTTGATTGTTTATTGCAGAAAATTTTACTTTCTGATATTATATTTTTCATACTAATCTCCATAATTATAGGCCACTAAATTCTTTTATAATAGGATATGGTCTAATATTAGACTTAGAGGGTGTAAATAAATCGAGCATAACTCAAGTTTCTCCATGTCTGAACTTGATTAATTAATCGAGTCAAAACTCAAGTTCAAACTCAATTTATGCGTTTGAGTCGGCCTTTGTTCGGATTTATTTATTATGATTTATTTAAAAAGTTGAAAATGATTCATATTGAAAAATATTGATAAAAAATATATATGGAAAAAATAAGAAATCTCTTTATAAATGAAATTGATGAAGCTTTTTACATTTTTAAATATTTTAAACAAATGAATTCTAATATAATCTTAATGTTCTTATATTAATATTAAAAAATTGGTCAAAAACTAACATATCAACTTTAACCATGCTCAAATTTAACTCATTAATTCATCAACTCATGACCTACTTATCAAGTCAAGCTTGTTCTAACCCGTAACTTTTTTACTATTTTCTACCGTAACTTTGTAGTTCAATTTTTTTTTTGAAAGCAATTAAAAATTAGTACCAAAAAATTATCATTCCTAGCTGAACTTAAGGAGGCAAATGCCAGAGCAGACCATTTACAGAAATAAAGTTTAAAAGCTCTAATCCAGTTGCAAGGGCCTAAAATGAAAATTCATAATAATATTCGACAGAGCTTTCTTAAAGAAACAAAATATGGAATGGAAAAGAAAAGTGAAAATATTGACAAAACAATGGCGGAAAAAGAGGCTACACCTTAACATTAGCAAGATCGAAGCACAAAGTAAAATAAATCCAGAATATCTTCTCAAAAGGAAGGTGAAATAATAATTAAATATATCATTTTTTGCTCATTGTATATATACTGTTTTCATGTCCGGAATAGGGAGAATCTCGCTCCAAAAAGCACCTCTCTAATGCTCAGAACACTGATTGACATCCACATGACTTTTATCAAACCTCGATGAGAATGATTGGAAATGCAAGAAAATCAGCTCGCTAAAAAGATTTAGAAATAAATTCAAATTCATATTTTAATGCGTTAAACAGATCGGCTTCCATATCTATAATCATCATCTTTCACCAAAACAAACCCTACGATCGATCTTCAAGAAGAAACAACCCTCCATTACGGAGCTCTATAGATATTTCTCCTTAGTTGTAGATTTTACTATAATTAATAAAAAAAACTGCAATCAAAGCGGTAAAGTCAAAGATGAAGAGAGAGATCGATATCGAAATCGACGCCACCGTCCGCCTCCGGCGAGACGTCTATGGCTGAAGCGGCGGAGGCTGGAGAAGAGAGAAAGTGATGAGTAGAGTAAGCGAAAGCTGTAAGAGGCATAGAGGGGGAGGGTACATGACCATAGACGTAGGCATATGCCACCGGCGGCTCAAACCATTGCGCCGGAGACATCGGAATCGAAATGTGCTCGCGGAGGTGGACGGCGGCGATGCATTTTCCTGTGCTCGATGCGGAGGCTCGGCGCGTGGCGGCTGCCCGCTCTTTCTTGTGGGCGTTCTGGTGACCACCTAGGGCTTGAGAGGTGTAGAATCTCTTGGAGCAATAGGTGCAAGGGTACATCCTACGGGCCGACGGCGGCGACAGCGGCCGCGGCGGAGACGAAGGACTGTTTTCTATCTTTGGTTGTTTTTCCAGCGAGGGCTGCTTCTGGTAGTCGAAGTGGTCGGTTTTCTGCTCTGCCATTTGTGGTCAGAGAGAGATTGGAGCAGATGGAGAGTGGTGGTTAGTGGAAGCAGAAGTGGAGTTTTAAGGGCGGGCTGATGCTTTTATGGCTTACGTGCAGATGATTGATTCTTTTTGTTGTTTACGAAATTACCCTTATGTTTCCTTATAATTTTGAGTGACGATAATATGAATATTTCGATGAACATTAAAAAATTATAATTTATATTAAATTAATATAATTTATAATATTAGATATAATAATAATTATTTTTAAATTTTATATTAAAATATTTAAACGAGTCAAGCCAAATTCGAGTGGCCGCTTGTTTAAACTTCAACATGGACTCCAATAAAAATACAAGTAAAGGCAATAAAGCTCCAGCTTTATTCAATTAGTATTCAAGATACGTTCAATCTCGATGATGATCAAGCTAGTTCTTGAGCTTAGCTCGTTATATATTGAAGGAGAGAAAATGAATATGATAATATCATATAATACAACTCATATCATACTAAAAAAAATAAACCATTCACAAATATGTAATAAATAAGATTAGTTTTTAAATATTCTTTATAATTTATATTTAAATGTATTTTATATAATATTTCTTAAATCGACGTACTCGAGCTAAAGAGTCTAGTCAGTTTGGTTCAAACTTGACATTTCTATATCGTAACTTAACTCCAGGCCATTTATAAGATAACCAAGTCGATACAGAAAGTGACATGACTCACCGCACCTCTAGCCAAAGTTGCTAAGTCTTGCGTAAGCTATTTTACCAAACTTACTAAATACTTGATAGCTTAGCTAAAAATATATAAATATTTTTAAATATTATTAAAAAACCCATTTTAAATATTTAAAATAAATTTTTAATATTATTTTAAAAATGTTAATAAAATTTTATTTTATGAATTAAATTTAATTAAAGATTAATATAATATAAAATTTAATCTGTTAATCATATATCATGTTAATTTTAAATAATATAATGAGTATAAAACTCATTATGATCAAGTTTTGATTAAAAAGAAATTCAAAACTTTCTCTAATGTTAATCATGTGAAAAATGTATTTTAAATAACAAATTATGCTTAAGGTGACATAAAAAAATAAATGAACGATCAAATTCCAAATAGATCCATCTTTAATGAAATTAGTTTTGAGGCAGGATAAAATAGTGCTATGATGTATTCCATTATATTTCATTTTTTCTTATAACTCATTGAAAGTAAGCTTGTTAGAAGCATGCATGTTTCATTCTTATTACTTTCACTACAGAAATTTCGTGGATCACCGGCGAAAAAATTCCTCCGAAATTTTCACCGGTGATTAGTACATGCAGCATTTTTTCCATCAAAACCAAGCGCCAGAAAATTTACTTAATTTCCAACAGATTTTTCCACTGGTAATCCGACGGATTTTCTGCCTGTAAAAGCCCTATTTCGTTGAAACCCACCCTCTTTTTTCATTTTCACCTTCTTTTTCCCAAAACTGAAACTCTCGTTGTCTCCAAATCTCGTCGTAGTTTCAGGTGGCTTATTGCTCATTTCTCTCCATTTCTTCCAGATTTAAGAGGTAAAACTCATTCTCTTTGCTCATTTCTATTTTTTTTTTTAGAAATTTTAGCCGTTAGAACATATCCAATGTTCATATATGATTAAAAATTTGATAGGTAAAATTTTTCTCTTTGCTCATTAAATATGTTTGAGGGATATTGATTAAAATGAGTGATATTTTTGCTGTGTTACATATTTAGATGGAATATATTCAAATATGATATTTTGTGTTACTTAAATTCATAAGTAATAGTGAGGGATGAGAGAGGAGACTTGGGTTTAGGTTCTGATACCATATAAGAAGTTTGAATGCTGATTTGATAGTAATTTCATTGAGATATTATATTAAACGTAGGTAGAAGAGAGACTGGGAAGTTAGGGAAGAAATTTTATTAGAAGAGTTTCTCTTGCAAAGATAATATGAGTATGATGTTTACATAGAACATGAAATAAGAAAAGTGCTACAAGGCAATATTAACTATAAGACAAGTACATATAGAGAATAAATGAGTTGTACCTCAGATGTTGAAATTTGTTATGAATGAAATATTAATGATTTATTATTATGACAGTTATCATATTTATTTTGATGAATTCAAATTAAAATATTCATTAATTAAGATAGATAATTATTAATTTTTATCCATGAATTAAACTTATGTTTCATCTCATTAATAAGAGTTGTTAATGATCTTATTTATTTGTCTACGATTGTTTTATTTTTTTGGTTGTTAATTCAAAATCAATATGGATATCTGAGAGGAGAGGTGTTGGATGTATATAGAATTTTTTTTAGGACGAAAAACACTAACATATGAATTTATTAAGAGAGTTGGATATTTTATTCACATGGCATGCCAACTACCTTCGTTTAAGTCAGATGGAATATTTAGATGTCAATACTCAAAGCATAAAAATCAAGCTTATCTTAAACCCGACTAGGTTAAGCTTGATTTATATCGTTGGAGATTTATCCCAAGATATTAGTTTTGGACTTCACATAAAGAGTATGAGCCACATACAAACACTCATTACGGTCCCTCCACAACTTAAAAAATAGTAGAGGAATATTAAATTAATAGAACGTACAAAGAACTTGTTTTTAATGCAATAAGTCCAAATCTAAGAGGATGTATAAAAGAATCATCTAATATAGAAACACAAAAATTCAATGAATTTCTATGTGCTACTCAACAATCAATTTGGGATGGTTGCACTACTCATTCTGAGTTATTGGTTACTATTAGATGTTTAATATTAAAATTGAATATAATATTCATTGATAGTGCTTAAAAAAAAATCCTAAGAATAATTTAATTCTCACAAATTTTTATCGAACAAAAAAGTTAATATTAAAGTTGGGCAAAAAATTGATTGTTATATGGCAGTTGTATGTTGTAATATAAGGATGATGTGACAAAATTTAGTTATCATATGTGTAGTACATATTGATTCAAAACTTAATATAGGAAATAACAAAAATAGAAGGATATTGCATATTCTCAATTAATTTATTTACCAATTATTCATAGACTTTAGTGGTTGTATGTATCAATGAGCTATATAGGTCATATGTGATGACATAAGGAGAACTTATCTCACAATTGTGTTCTTTCTCATCCATCAGATGTTGAAGCATGGAAGCACGTTGATCAAACACATCCTTCATTCATTGTCGAGTAACATAATATAAGATTAGGATTACGTGCTGATAGTTTCACTATGTATAGTCAGACAGCTTCACCATACTCTTTTTGGCCTAATTTATTAATGCCTTATAATCTTTCACATGAGATGTATATGACTACCATTTATATGTTCTTGATGCTTATAATACCATGACCAAATAACCCAAAAAATTATATTTTTATAACCTTTGATTAATGACCTCAAGTTATTGTGGGAAGAATGTGTTCTCACATATGATATCTCAACTAAATAAAATTTTATCCTTAAAAGCTATTTTATTGTGGATCATTAGCAATTTTCTAATTTATGGTATATTATCTAGTTGGAGCACTGCAAGAAAGTTAGCTTTCCCCTATTACTTGGAGAACACCAAATCATTCACATTAAAATAGGGAGGTAAAAACTTGTGGTTTGACTTCCATCAAATGTTCTTATCTTTTGATAAAAAAAAAAGAAGTGTTCTTTAAAAATAAAGTAGAGAGGCACTTCTGTCACCTAGATTAATTGGTTCATATATACTTGAAAGATGTTCTAACATATTGATAATTATTGAATTTCCTATATTGTTAGAGTATGAGTCCTTGGATATAGTGTTCAACATTATTGGATAAAAAGTATATTGTGGACATTACCATACTGGATTGCCAATTTGATCAGTTATAATATGAATGTTATGCATAGTGAGAAGAATATATTGGATAATATTTTTAATATGATCATGGATGTTAGAGATAAAACTAAAGATAAGCTGAAGGCTAGAATATACATTAAAAAGTATTATATTAGAGAAAATCTTGATTTGAGAGTAAATATTAATGAAATTTTCTTGAAATTGATAGCATCTTTCTGATTCACATTAGAACAAAGAAGATCAATATGTCAATGGTTCCAAACTTTGAAAATGCCTGGTAGATATGGATCTAACTTAAGCCAATGTATGAATATTAGATCTGAAATATCACTTAGACTGAAAAGTCATGATTAATTGTTATGGTGATTCTCCTTCCAATTCTACTCTACTTCTTACATATTACATATCAAATCCATTGACCGAGCTTAGTATATTTTTCAATGATCTTTGTTCAATGAAATTATGTGAACATGCAATTCTGCAAGTGTGAGTAAAATATACCATTCATTCTTTGCAAGACAAAAAATATTTTCTCATGGCTTCTTTGATTTTATGGAATATCTATCAGTCCACCTACCATATGAGGCAAGAGCAGGAGGTCCCGTGCGATATCGTTGGATGTATTCATTTGAGAGGTATGATATTTGTTTAGTTCTCCATATTTATAATAATTTTAATCCATATTAGTTCTCATCTTAATCTAATAAATACTTGAACAAATTAAAAAAAAAATTATGTAAGAATAAAGCACACCCAAAAGAATTAATATATGAAGCATAATTGGCACAAAAAACTACCCTTTTTGTTCATACTACTTTGAACCCCATGTGAGAAGTTCAAGGCCCAAATTTGTAACATGTACTTTGATATCGATCATTATTTACCATTTTCATTATCAATCTTTAAGAACTTTAGGAAACCTAGTGGAATATGTCAATCAAATTCCTAAATGATTTTGGAAATAAAAACAACAACATTATATGTGTTGTGTAACTACCAAGAAGTCAAACTTATCTTAGAGTTAGTATAATCCAAAAACTTAAAATTTACATTATCTAATTTTTCTTATGTAATAAAAGTTGGAGGATTAGTGCATAGGTTATTCATAAGAAATTTGCCAACAATAAATCATGAAGTT